ATATATATATGACATATATACGATCTCTGATATATAGATCAGCATCTGTATATGAGCATTCTCTTTGTTTATCAGTAAATACTTCAATTCATTAATTCATCCAGAGACTGGTTAAAGGTTTGTTGTGCAGCAGTGAAAACTTTGTGCCTGGGGAATAGCAGCGAAGGAAGCGTACAAGGCCCCTGTCATTTATAGTCTAGTTGAGAAAGACAGGCCAATATAGTAACTAGACAAGATTTTACAGAGATTGCCTTTTGTTTGTGCCGTAAAGGAAATACGGCAGTTTGATACGGTGACGACACTAGTAGATGGTTAGTGAAGGGCTCTATTTGAACAGTTCACTAGAATTTCCTGAAGAGAAAATGTGCAGTGATCCAATTAATGCTTGGCCTGTGCTGTTTGTTTCTCTGAAGGTGAAGCCACACCTGCCATCCAGCTGCCCACACCCGCGGTCCAGCGCCTAAGCCCCATCACCCTTTTCCAGCCCAGTGTCTCCAGCAGTGCCCCGGTGGCCATCCAGACTCCAAGTCTGCCACTGTGCCCAGCAGTTGCACCGCAGCATTTCACTGGGCCTTCACAAGCTGATGCTCATCTGCTGCCTTCTGGACCCAGTCACGTGTTGAAGAGATCACCTCCCGACCCTCCCGAGAGCACCAGCAGTATCCCAACCAGTGCAAGTACCACCAATGCCAGATTTGCAACCCCAGCCATCCAGCCTCCCAAGGAGTACTCCAGTGGATCTGCCTGTCCCAGAAGTGCTCCCATCCCCCAGCCTTCTCCCATGCCACATTCGCACGTCTACCAGCCACCTCCCCTTGGCCACCCAGCCACACTGTTTGGGACACCACCACGATTCTCTTTTCATCACCCCTACTTCCTACCTGGACCTCACTACTTCCCATCAAGGTAAATGAATATTTTTTTTCTTTCACCTAAAAATGTCGATAAATGATATTTTTTCTTATGAAAGCATCTCATTTTTACTGAAAAGGAGAATTTGTCAGTTCTGTTTGTAATCTAACTTAGAGGCCATGTAGGCCCCAAAGAATCCCCATAAATGGATGAAGGGAGTGAGAGGACAGCTGAGGGAGGTAGAGAAAGTGCACACAGCAGCTCATGGCACAGCTGCTACTGAGCTGGAGCCAGCATTTACCATGTAAGAATATAAGCTCCCACATTAGCCAGCCTGATTCTTCATAGGAAACAACTAAAGGAGCCTTAAGCCCATGTAATAAAATCCTTTTCTTGAATAGAACTGTACTTCTCAAACTTTAACATGTATATAAATTATGTGGCAACTTGTTAAAATGCAGATCCCTAGTTTATAGGCATAGCAGTATGCTATCCTGGGGTATAGTCACCTGGTATTGTGTATTGCTAATAAGTTCTCAAATAATGTTAATTCTCCTTGCTTGGGGAACCATGTTTTGAATAATAAGGATGTTGAGGTAAGTGTTCTAAAAGTGATTAAATAATTAGTTCAAAATAACACTACTAGGAACTGGGGAGATGGCTCAGTAGAATAAGCACTTCCCTGGTAAGCACAAGGGCCTGAGTTCAATCCCTGGTTCTGCCAAAAAACAAACAAACAAAAAACCACTTCTGTTTAGTGTCCTTTTGGCCAAATTAGAAAATTTCACATGTAAATTACCAATAAAAGCATTGATTTTTCATGGGAAGGTATATAGGGATAAACAAATTTATGATGTTTCCTCTTGAAGTGATAGAATTTAACTCCCTTGCAGATGTTCTGGTAGAGTGGCAATGAACTCCATTTTTCAATTATTGTTAAGTGTGTATCAGATGGTTTCCATTGATATTAGGGTGTTAAATGTTTGGGGTGGGAAGAAGGGATTTAGAACAGGAGAAATAATACTTTGCTATAAGAGGTTTGTTTCATTTTTAAAATTTATTTTTATTTTTAGTTTTTTGGTGTGCTTTTTCTATCCTTAGCTGTCTTCAACAGTGTTTTAGTTCAAGAGATCAAATGTAAGAGACTACTAAAGCCAGGAATCGGTATTCTCATTCTACTCCTATTTGTCAAAATTTTAAAGGAATTTCAGAGAATTTTATAAAACGTTTTCTAGGTAGAAGAGTGTATTAATAGAAGTAAATGAATTAGTAGGCTGGGTCATAGGTTGGTCTTAGAACCTTGATGTCCATAAGTAGAGTTGCAGAAATTCTGTTACATAATTTATTTTATACTATAAAGGCTTGGGAGGTTTTACAGAAAAAGAGAAAAAAGTCAGTGAGAAATGGTATATCCTACCGTTTCACTCTAGCTATTGTTTACCATTGTGTGTAGGCTTGTATTTCTTCTTTTTAGTTGCAAGAGCATGAAATTCTCACAACAGTCCTGTGACATGGGTGTCATATTCACTTGCTTTTTTTCAGATAAATTGGTCAGATGTTCAGTAGCTTTATCAAGGTTACATAATGGCAAAGTCAGTAGTTGAATTTAAGTTTGTCTGATTTGCCATTCCATATTTCTTTTTCTACTCAGTAAGCCTCCTCAGCATGATGACTCCTCTTGGTTAGCAGCTGCTGCTGTTAGCAGACAATCAGAAAATATATACAGTACTTTGGAATGGAAACTCGTAGTCAAGTGAATGTTTGAGCACGCATTGTTTCATTTAATACTATATAAACAGTCAGAAATCTATTTTTCCTTTATGACATGGTTTCTTAGATTTATACAAATTTATACAAATCATTTAACATTTTAAAAGGAGGAAACTTTTGTAAGAAGAGAATGAGAAAATGGAAATAAAGCTTTTGTAAATAAGGAGGAAGAGGGCTTGAAGGAAAAGTAGGAGAATGGAGAAAAAAATCAATCATATCATGTTCAGGTGCAGAGTCCCTAGGATGAATGTGATCACCTCAAATGTACCATTAAACTTAAGAGAGAAGGAAACTTTATTAGAAAGTTCTTAGGAAAAAAAATTAAAAAATTTAAAAAAATTTTAAAAAAGAAAGTTATTGGGATACAAAACTATAGCTTTTTATTTTTCTTTAATATTATTTTTACTAATTAATAATGATATTAAAAAAACCAAGTGATAAATAAAAAAGAACCAAGAGAAGTGAATAAATAGTATTATATTTAGTAAAATTGAATGTTATTTTCTGCAAGAATGTGAATATCAACTATAAACATCGAGGTGCATATAGTTTCCCAGAACAAAAAAAACTAGTCTCATAATAATACTAATAATATCTTATAATTGCTTCTCTGATTTTTCCTGTATTTGTCTGATGATAATTTTCTTCAGGAAATATGTATCTAATTGTTTAAATTTGCCTAGGCAGTATATTTCAGTAAAATTGAGTATGAGTAAATGACGAAATGGATTCTTTCTATATTTGTCTCCAAGAGTGGTAATGAAATCTTGTATAAAGAATGTATCTTCTCAAGAATGGCATGGTGATGCGTGCCTACAACCCAGTGCTGGGAAGGCTGAAAACAGGAGGATCACTGTGAGTCCAACCTGCATAGTGAGACCCTGTACCAATACACAAATACATAAAAAAAGAATGTATCTTCTCCAATTTAATCAATTTCTGTGTGGAAGTATTTAATGATTTCAATAACTATAATGGGCATTTGACAGATAGATATAAATATCTGTGTTTGTGGATTCTGCATTTATTATATTAATTATATTATTTATTATAATTTTATTTGCAGAACAGACCATTTTTTCCTTATGGGTCTAGAAGAAAAATGAAATAGGTTAGGCAATTTATACAAGGGATGATTTTGTAAAACAGGCGCTCAGAAGTGTTGATCTCCTCCTGAGGGCAACATCTTCCTGCCTCTAAATCTTAGTTATCTTTGCACTGTTCTTTCCAAAACCTCTGATTGTCAGTGTGCTCCTTGAATTCCTTAGGCTAACTTTCCCTTTAGCCTCATTGCTTTTTACCTTCTTACAGCACTGTTTTGCTTTTATATTGAGGAAATTTATGTATCTTCACTCTGTTAATAATTAAAAGTGTTAACATCTATTGCAAATGGAAATATAAGGAAAATATACTTAGATATGAGTATATGTTGAGACACTAAGCCCAAATAAATCTGCAGTGATCCTCCTGTTTTCAGCCTCCCTAGCACTGGGTTATAGGCATGCATCACCACGCTGTTCTCGAGAAGATATACTCTTTATACAAGATTTCATTACCACTCTTGGATTTATAAGAATAAATAGTGTTCTGACTGTAAGATTTTAGGCGAAAGTTTCACAAGTTAAGAGTAGTTCTCCATAAACATTGGGCCATAGAGTCACTTAAGAATTTGAAGTTATGGACTCACCCCTTTATTGTTTGGATCAAGAATGTTTCCCAGAGGCCTCATGCTTTTATAGGTGAGTTATAAGAAGGTTTGTGAATCCTACAGGTGATATAGTAGATTTGCTATTAGGAAGTGGGGTCTGCTTAGAAGAAGAAGGTGTATTTCCCTCCCTGGCTCTTCCCTTCTGTCTCTTCTTACTGTCCAACAAGATGTGAGCAACTGCTCCTTCAACTATTATGTCTTTGTGCCATGCTGCTTTTGTGTTGAAAAAGTAATTGTGAGCCAGAATATACTTTCCTCCCTTAAGTTGTGGGTGTTGGGTATTTCGTTGTGTCCTAGTAATGACAAAATAACTATAACAGATTTTGGTTCTGGAGAACTAGTGGTGTTGCTGTGACTATTCCTGACCATATTGTTAGAAGCCATTAGAAGGGGTTTATGGAGAAGTTTAGAAAGGCTTGTACATGCTGGCTAGATAGGCCCCAGAGTTCTGTAAGTGAAGCTTGATGGGAGTTTCTAGTCAGAGCTAAGAACACTAGAATCCAGATAGGAATGAAGATGTTAAAACTCAAGCTCAGGTTTCAGTTTGCAATAAGGACTCTATTGGCAGTTGAACTGCCAATGTGTTGGCGCATGACACATAAGACCATGTGTTATGCTCCGGCAGAAAACTTGTCTTTATTTTGCTCATATCCTGAAATGTGAGAGGCTAAGAGTAATGATGTTAGACTAACCTGGCAGAGGAACTTTCAGTGCAGCCCAGTGTTGGGCTGTGGTATGGGTAATTCTGGTGGTGACTTTTTAGCCTGTGATAAGCAGGACCAAAAGCAGAAACAAATAAAAAAATTTGAAAATTTTGCCTGCTGAAAAGAGAGGAAATACATTTAAAATTTGGGCCTCTAAAATTCGGACCTATATAATTTTGGCCCAGGAGAGCTTGGTTGCTGAAAAGATTAAGATTAAAAATTACTTCATGAAGCCTGGCCCGCAATGCAGATCACTGTGGATAATGGTTTCGGGGGTGTGCACAGCCAGGAGAAGGCCAAGTGGCTGGGGAGTGCCGCAGAGGATTACTTCATCCACAATGCTGACTTGGAGCTAGATGAGGTAGAAGACTTCCTTGGGGAGTTGATGACCAATGAATTTGATACCGTTGTGGAAGATGGGAGTCTGCCCCAGGTGAGCCAGCAGCTACAGACCATGTTCCACCGCTTCCAGAGGGGTGATGGGGCTGCTCTGAAGGAGATGGCCTCCTACATCACCCAAAGAAAGTATAAAGTCACAGCCACTGCACTTAAGACAGCCAGAGAAACTGATGAGGATGAAGATGGTGCAGATAATGTGGAAGAGATGGAGGTCACAGCTGCGAATGAAGTGGCTGCTGTACAGCCTGAAACTTCTGATTCAAACTCTCAGACTATTAAGGAAGAGGATATAGTAGAAGATGGCTGGACCATTGTCTGGAGAAAGAAATGAGTGGGGCCAGAAATGTTTTGGGCCCTTGTTGACTGGCATTCTAAGACTTATTTTTAGGGCTGGACTGGTTAACCTACCCCCATCTCCTCTCTTGTTCTACTGTTTAGCTCCCTCCAGGAGAGGAAAAGCCCTGCAGTCTTGG